AAAGGAATTCAGGGCATTATTTATGTAGACTTTGAGACGGTTGGTAAAAAAGATCGGCTATCAGCTCCAATCATCAAGCTTTCAGGGGTCTCCCTTGTTACCAAAGAGAAGAATGAAATCATCGTGCGAAGGTGAAAGTAAATTTTGGCTCATTTTAAGGAGGCCTAGGTTTATGAAGTTTAAGTTGTTGTTTATTCATCTTGTTATTTTTATTTTGTATGTCAAAAGCAGTGTACACTTTTCTCCAGCTGAAATTTCATAACTGAAGGAAGAAGATTCAATCAAGCCAGATGTGGTTGATGATTTATTTTCTTGGCCTCTTGGGAAAGAAACAGGTAATTGGATCCATACATGTTACCTTGAAACTCGTAAAATACTGTTTCATAGACTACCGTTGAATACATGCATGCATGTTTCCCTGTGTTTTAAAGTAATGCAGTTGGTGATTTGTGTTTGCAGTATGAGAGAGGTGATTAAAGTCGCTTTGAGATTGGTTGTTTTCGTTGAAATTAACAAAGTCAGCTCAATATACCTTTGAAGACTATGTGATGGGTGAATGTTACGAACATACTATTATTATATAATATATTTCGGAGTTAAGTGAATGTTCTTATTCTAATTTTTAATTCGATTTATTAGCTACTATTTATAAGTAGAGCAAGGACTATCCTAGAGATTATGCAATAGGAGTAATGATACACAATTCACCTAATTCATTTTACCATTGTATCTCATCTTACATGTCATTTAATTATTGGGTGAAATCTAATAAGTGAATTTAATTAATTTTTATATTTTTCAAATTTAATTAAATTTAAATGAGTATTATTAATAATTATTATTTATGTAAATGAAATTTAATTTAGTGTTAATTATATTTTTGTGTTATTGTTATTATTATTGTTATATTTATTTTAGTTTTAATATATGAATAAGAAGTATTAAGTAATTTTAATAATTGATGTTTATTATATTTTTAAATGTAATTAAATTTAAATAAGTAGTATTAATTTGAATTTAAAAATTAATTTACTATAAATTATATTTTTATTGTGTACTAAATAATATTAATTTTTATGTGAATGAAATTTAATTTAGCAATAATTTAGCAATGAAATTTGTTATTGGTTGTTTCTTGCCATCCGTCATTTTTTTAGCTTCCTAATTTTTGTAAATCTAAATTTTAAAGATATGGGGTTTTACTTTTTTGGTTTGAGGTTGGAGAAGAAGAAAGGAAAAGAATAGGAAGAAGAGGAGGAAGAAAGAAGAAAAATAAGAAAAAGAGGGGCAAAATTGTTGTAACAACTGTAGGTGAGTAATCTCTATAACTGTAAAAAGTAATTCAGTATCATAAAGACAGCAACGTTGATGTAACAGAGGTGTTGTATTGACACAGTGGAGGAGGAGACTTACCCGCATTTTCCTCAGTTTCACAACTTTCATCATCAATCTAGTTCAGGTCAAGCATCCTTGAGATCTTTCCTCATCGAAGAAGCACACAAGCGTGAGTATTTTAAGAGTTGTAACATTGTATTTATGTGATTTTTTTTTGTCTACTTCTGTGGTTTTTCCAATGCTTGTAAATTAGGTCGATGGTTCTTTGATTCTACTGTTGTCTCGGATGACGGAAAGATTAATCATCAAAGAGGTAGTAGATCTTAATCATCACAATGGGTGTTCCATTTAAGCCTGATTTTCTTTTTGTTTTTTTGTCATGTATTGTTGCTCCGATATGCCTTTTAATGGCCTCTTTCTCTCCAACTGGGTGGATAGCCAAAAGTTGAAGAAATTTTGGTTTAGCTCTAGAGGTCTCATACTCTTAAACTTGAAGTGTTTTTTCTATGTTTTACTCCTTAGATTCATTATGTCAAGTGCAAAGCCTTCAAGTCTACGTGCTATAAATGTTGAAGATGCTATGCAATTTGTCATAAAACAGTTTGAACTGTTTGAAATCTTTCTTTTCTTTGCTTCGGGTGTTTTTCTTTCATTTTCATGTTGTTTTCCATTCTGGTGATTATATCGTTTTATTTGTTTCTCTTACCGAATTCAGTTTTATGATAAAAAAAAGTAATGCTCTTTGCAAGGTTTGGCCTTTGATCTTTTCTATGTTTTTATTAGCTGTGTTGATTCTCTGTACCTTTTTTATATTGCTGGATTAATATCAATTGTCACGTTTTGTAAACAGAGAATTTCACAAAGTCTTTGTTTTGTGACTGGTTTCACTCTAGCTATTTCAAATTAATTTTGTAATCTAGGTATAAGATTGTGGAACGAAACAAATCTTTTGATCTTTGGTAGTTGCAAAACATTTGATAAGCTAGTGAAATTGAGTTATTACTTGCTATTTGATTTTAGTACTGGCTTTTGGAATAGACAGGGAATCTTCCATCTCTGTTTCGTCCATCTTTCAGGAAATCTTCTCCTATTCCTGAGTCTCTGGAGCTTTGTGTTGATCAGCTCAGCAGGAATTTCAATGAAAACCACCTCAAAGAAATATTTGGTATGTTCCATGTACATTACAATGCCTGTGTGATAGTTTTTCAATCCCCTTCTTTCTAAAAAGTTGAATGAATCAAATAGATAATTTGTGTTTATAATGTTTTGTCATGGAAGTGAATATGTCAGTGTTCCAAGGAAATGGGAGCTCGAAGATGTAATCTTTTTGAGAAGAAATGAAAACGAACTGATTTGGAATTTGGAATGTTTAGTCGTGGAAGTTCCTTTGATATGAATTTCGGGGTAGCATACTAGATAGTTGTTTTGAACGAGGCATTGGGTTGAAGTGACAATTTCAGAGTCAATTCAGTCTTTTGCCAAGCGTTGTGTGATCTTGGTGTTGAACGGAATGATCAGATGTATTTGGACTTATACTGTATTTTGTTTGTATTGTTCTGTATACCAGTGAACAGCTTGTTCAAGACCTCCTCGATTCAAATGGGGCGGATGCTAATCAGCTTCATCAGAAGTCTGAAGTTGTCACTCACAATATAATCTTATGGGCACTTCTGTCTTTGGTACTTAGGCAACATCTGAGCTTTGTTCGTGTTTGAAATGGCACTTCCTTACTTTTGATTTGTTTAGGGGGTGTATCCACATTTGTATTTTGGTTTAGTATAATTAATAACAGTGGCGGATTTGGGTTTATCCATATTGTTTTTTCTGCTTAGATTGGCCAGGGCACTTACAAAAATGTCTACCGAGCCCGAGATCTCGATCAAGGGAAGATTGTGGCTTTAAAGAAAGTAAGGTTTGACAATCTGGAGCCTGAAAGTGTGCGTTTCATGGCTCGAGAAATGCATATTCTGCGCAGGCTTGATCATCCTAATATTATCAAGTTGGAAGGTCTTATTACATCGAGGATGTCTTGCAGCTTGTACCTTGTTTTTGAGTACATGGAATATGACCTAGCTGGCCTTGCATCACATCCTGGTGTGAAATTCACCGAATAACAGGTACCACAGCCAGCTCTGATGAATTTCTTACAACAAGGCATTGAATTGAGTGCCTTTTTGTTATACTTCTTATTGGCTGCTTGAGAAAATATTGCTTCGTTTCTAATTTTGTAGGTGAAGTGTTACATGCAACAACTTTTACGTGGCCTTGAACACGGTCGCAACCGAGGTGTTTTGCATTGAGATATTAAGGGTTCCAATCTTTTAGTTGACAATGCGTCTTGAAGATAGCTGAGTATGGTCTGGCGAGTTTCTTTGACAAGTCGATGCAACTACACGAAATTAGTTGATAATTCTGCATTGGCATCAGGTGCTGAAACTACACGAGATTCTCGTGCTCCTTTCCTTTCTTGGTCATGTCTGATGAGGATTATGCATTCACTCATTTGACCAAAAGTGACTTTCACTAAATTTTCATCACAAATACTCCCTCTGTTCTAAAATTATTGTCCAGTTTGAGATTTTACTTTTAGTACAATTTGAACTAAAAATGAAAACACAAACTGGACAATAATTATGGGACGGATGAGTATGTTATTCCATGTTGCATTTTCACTTTGTTTTTAGATTTTTCAAGTGAATTTAGTACTATTATTTTCTCCCTACACATACTCCGAAACCGAAGTTACAACGGGCGCGCGGTGTAAAAACTCGGCTAGTTAGATTCCAAGTCAACAGTGTTAGCTACTGTATTTTCTGCAAGACTAATGCTAAGCTATTGTTTACTATGATTAGTTTAATGAAAGTCGATCACTATAATTCACTTTATTATTATTTTGGGGGGTGGGGGGTGGGAGATAATTTTTTACAATAATCTTAATATTATTAAATTGGCTATTTCAGCTGAGGGTAAAAAATTGTTCAATGGTTTTTTTTTTTTTTTGTCTTCATGATATGATTCTTCTCTCTTTTCCTTAACAGCTGAATAATAATTATATTATAATAAAATATAAAGCGTTACATAACTTAACTAACTATTTTGATAATTTTAAGATTATTAAATTTTAATGATGCCTTTTCTGGTCTATACTTGACAATTAATTGTCTCAGTATCCAAAATTACAACTAAGTCCCCTAATTAACTAAAAAGGGAAAACAAGTCCCAATTCATTACAATTCATCCCCTTACAAGGAACAAACGGAAATGATTCACATAATCTCATCAACATTACAAGCGACTAAACCCAAAAAATTACAAAAAGATAAGAAATACATACTCTCCGGTCCTTAATATAAGGCATTGTGGTTTGTTCTAAATTTCACCTAGTATGTATTGTTTATTGAGAAAAAAAACTTTAAAAATATATTTTCACTTTCGCCGTGTTTACTTGATTGTTATAAAATATTTTTAAGGTAATTTTGTAAATTAAAAATGCGTAATAAATTAAACATAAGAAACGTCTAAATGCCTTATAATAAAGACACGGAAGGGAGTATAACAAAATTGGTAATTCAGAATCACAGCAAGCCAATGTGTAGATTAATACACAAAATAAAAAAAGTAATGACTCTCTGTATTGTTTATTGGGCCGTATGAAGAAGATACAGATGGGCCGAGCCTGCTCGAACATTCACATCCATTACAGTTTCGCGGGAAATAATTCATTCGTAATCTTTCAATCTCAGTCACACACTCCCCGGCGCAACCACCGCCGCCGCCACGCTCCGCCGTCGGCCCTATCCCTGCCCATGGGCGACATCCTCCCCAACGGAGATGAAACTCCGGCAAGCCACAGAAAGAAGAGACCTCGACGGATTGTCGGTCCAACGCCGAAGAAGAAGGAAGTCAGAAAGTCAGATGACATCGAAGACATCAATTTCAGCAAAGACGAAATCTTGGATGTCAGAGGTTCGCTGTTGAAATGGTACGAAGATAACCAAAGAGACCTTCCCTGGAGAAGAATAAGCAGAGAATGCTTCAATGAAGAGGACAGGGAGGAGAATGAGAAGAGGGCTTACGCCGTCTGGGTATCGGAGGTGATGCTTCAGCAAACTAGGGTTCAGACTGTAATTGATTACTTTAACAGATGGATGAACAAATGGCCTACTCTTCACCACCTTGCTCAAGCTTCTCTTGAGGTTTGCATTTGTTATCGCGTATTTTCAATTTATTTTTTTGGGTTTGTCCGATTATTTGGGAAACATCTAATTTTCTTTACCTTGTGGGTGAATTTTCTTTTTTGTGTTTGAAAGGAGGTGAATGAGATGTGGGCGGGCTTGGGGTATTACAGACGGGGTCGGTTTCTACTCGAGGTCAGATTTTTTTTTTTTTCCCCACCCCCTTTGTTTGGATTGTTTGATTTTTTTATTTATTTTTTATTTTTTTTAAAAAATTTTTATAATGAACTTCTAAGGTTATCGGCAAAAGTATGTTGTTTGATTAAATTTGTACAAAGATTGTTTTCTTATTTTATGGAAATAGATTTGTTACTAGGGTGCAAAAATGATTGTTGAAGGAGGAGATGGATTTCCAAATGAGGTTCCGGCTCTTCGGAAGGTCAAGGGTATTGGAGACTACACAGCTGGTGCAATTGCTTCAATTGCGTTCAAGCAGGTCTCTGTCTTGAACTATTACTGGTTCCTTAATATTTCTATGTTTTAACTTTTCCAAAATTGACAGACAATTGAGAATGATTCATGTAGGTAGTCCCTGTGGTTGATGGGAATGTTGTCAGGGTCATTGCCAGACTAAGAGCGATTTCTGCAAATCCAAAGGAGGCCACAACTGTAAAAAATATTTGGTGAGTTTGCTTGCTACAAACTTGATACTTTATTTAGGTTTTGGTTCTTTTTATAATTAGAGCTTTAAATCTGCTCTGTGCCGAAAACTACATTTCTGACATAGAGGCTCTAGTGCTGGAAACTTTCCTAATTTCTAAGTGAAGGTTTGATTAGTTACCTGAAAGTTATCAGAACTTATATGCATTCGTGAAGTTAGGGTGGTTAAATCTCGTTTTTTGTTTCTGATATTTTCCCTCTTTTTGTTTGACAATGATGTCAAGCACTGGTATCTATCCTCTTCGTTGGCTGTTAATTATCGGTCGTCACAATAACTGAAATTCTTCTTTACGTAAGTGTTTCTTATTGTTTTCCTATGGTTCTACGTTTCTTATTACATTCAGCTTCTTTGTACCAGGAAACTGGCGGGGCAGTTGGTTGATCTTTGTAGACCTGGAGATTTCAATCAGGCTCTCATGGAACTTGGTGCAACAGTATGCACTCCAACGAGCCCAAGTTGCAATGACTGTCCTATTGCTGCCAATTGCGTTGCTCATTTGCGATCCAAATGTGATGACTCTGTACAAGTTACTGACTATCCTATCAAAGTTGTGAAGGCGAAACCGAGGCATGAATTTTCTGCCGTCAGTGTTGTTGAAATACTGGAGAGTGCAAAAATGGAGGATCCTCAGAGCAACAGTAAATTTGTTCTTGTAAAGAGAGCAGATAAAGGTCTACTTGCTGGCCTTTGGGAGTTTCCTTCTGTTTTTGTGAGCAAAGATGCTAATTCAACCACTAGAAGAGAAGCAATCAACCATTTTTTGAAGTCATCATTTGGTCTTGACTGTATGAAGTCCTCTAATGTTGTTTTTAGAGAAAATGTTGGAAAATATGTCCATGTCTTTTCTCACATTCGTCTCGAGATGCATGTGGAGTGGATCGCGCTGCATTTAAAAGGTGGGTCGGTCTTTTTCATTAGCTACTTCCAACCTGCTCCTCAAATGAAAATAACGAAATTATTGTGAATGTCTTAGCTTCTGGTTTTAATTCTGATCCATATTATTTTTGTTGATATATGAAGGTTCGAAGAATGTTCAGAATAAAAAGAAGTCCCCAGTTGATTTAACTTGGAAATATGTTGAAAGACAGGCCCTGGCAAGAATGGGATTAACTTCAGGAGTAAGAAAGGTAAAACTCTCTGGCTGAAAAAGGATTTGCTGAATTATAAGTTAATGTAATGTCGTAAGTCTTAACTGAATGGGAAGAGACTTTCGGTCGTAGAGGGTGGGAAGAAGTGGCTCCCGCTAGGTGAAATGTTGCTTTACATAGTTGGGAGAAAAACTGGTTCCAAACTACTTGTTGCTTTCTCGTGCTTTGCCTGAAATGTTCCTCTGCTCTTGCGATTTTTCTTTGAGTAGAGCATGCTTGTTTTCTGATAATCGGTTGATTATTTGCACTTTTTTTTTTTTTTTTTTTGCATACTGCATTATTTGCACTTTTTTGCTTTTCCTGTTACACGAGTTTTACTGGCATGTAATTCATGTTTGCTTGTGCATGTGTCCGTTTTTTTCTTGTGTATATCTTTTTCAAATTGTCTACATGACTGCGGAGTTCAATATTCCCTTAGGTTTATGATATGGTTGAAAACTACAAGCAAAGCAGATTAAGTTCTCCCCCAGATGAAGAAAAACAGACAAATGGTTCAAGAAACTCGAGAAACAAAAAGGTAACAGAAAGTGATTGATTCTGATAGTTGAATAGTCAGTCAGCTGGGAGACATCTGTACCATAGAATTGTAAAGATTGTTTTAGCGAGCACTACTACCATTCTGTGTATTTCTTCGTATCTTACATTACTTCTGATAGATGCGAATCTCTCTATTTGGCGTGTAGTATTCATCAGACGATTTCTTATCCCGAAAAGGGAAGGAAAAATGAAGGGGAAAAAGAAAATTAGAGCCATTTTGTAACTACTAGTAGAGAGTGATTTTGTGTAACATTTCACCATGTACTCCCTCTGTCTCAAAATTATTGTCCAGTTTGAGATTTCACTTTTAATACATTTTGAACTAAAAATAAAATTTCAAACTGAATAATAATTTTGGGACGGGAAGAGTATTTTATTAGTGAAGAATACTGGAATAGAGAGATTTTTTGCCAGAAATCCATGAAGAGTGAAAATGGCCCAGGCAAAGTGTGGAAAATAGGGGCCTTGTGGGCTTTGGTCTGCATATGCTGGGCCGGGAATTGTCCCAATAGCATCAGATCAACAGATATAATCGATAGACTGCATTTCAATGCCTATAATTTCGAAGTCCACTAAAAAAAATTAGTGGCATTCATCTCCTGCACCACTGTGTGGACGACAAAATTCTCTTCTCAATTTATCAGAAAAAAATAGGGGGAAAAAAGGTTGCGCTGTTTGGGTTTTCTGTAACTCAAGCTGTTTCCAAACGTAGTTGTTGTCGTTCTTATTCTTCTTCTTCTAGGGAGGGCTTCCAGTTTCCATTTCGCTTCCTCCATCCTTATTGACTTGAATAATCAAAGAGCTACTCATCATTTCTCTAGTGAAAAGAAAAGGTAAGTACATATAAAGTTTTGGTGAGAGTAGAAAGCAAAAAGCAACAGAGCAGTGGGGCAGCGGGTTTTGTTTCAGTCCCAAGTCCACCAAGAAAAACTCCAATGGCGGCAGCAGGCGGAGCAAGATCAGTTGCCATATCCAGCTTCCTTCCCTCTTCTAGTTTGGCGCAGAAATCTGTATCCAGCTCCAGAACTTCGTTATCGGTATGTAAAATAATTTATGTAACTTCCAGCGTCTAAGGAATGAAATTCACGTTGCAAATCCACGTCTTTGTAAACCTTTTGTTTTTGTACTTCGTTAGATGGTTTCCAGTAAATTGGTATTGAGTGGCTCCAAACTCAGGTGCTCTGCAATTCAAGAATCGACCACTGCTCCAGGTGAGCATATTTATTAATCTGGCTTCTGCGCTTCCAGTATGATGAAGTGCTTGTAAGTTTCATCAACTACATCCTTTGAATATCAACGTATATAGATACTCACAATTGTTAAAATCAGTTGCTGCTCAGGAGGAGAAAAAGGATGAGAAGCCTGAGGAAAAGGAAGAGTCAAAGACGAGTCCTCCTCCCGCTCCTGCTCCTGCAAAGCCAGCAGCTGCCGCGAAGCCTGCTGCAAAAGCGCCGGTGAAGCCCTTGCCGGAGATGATGGAAGAAGAAGTCATCCCTTCTCTACAAGCAACTCTAGGAGCTCAACAAGACATCTCCGAACTCGAGCTGACTTTCCAGGATAATAAGGTCGGTTACTCCCCGGCATGATTTTCTTGGGACTCATAAATCTTCTCAAGTAATAATGTTTAACAAGACAGATTGTGTCATCCCATTTTCGTGCTAATTGTGGTCACAGTTGGAAGGCTCATTTCTGAAGAAGGGCATCCCTTACACCTTTTGGGCTTTCTTCCCCGACGGGGTTCTCACAGGTTGTTTACCTGTCCCAATTGCCATTTCATTTTATTTGTTTGCAGCTCCAAAATGACAACTTTACAAATGAAACTTCCTTCTGCTTTTTCCAGGTCCAAAAGGATTTTCAATATCCTCCTATGGATCAGGTGTCAGCACCGTGGAGCCTTTCCTCATTGACGAGAAGAAAATCACAACAAAACATGTCGTGTTCTGGGTAGAGAAGCGGTTGGCTGCTCAGGGAATAATCCCTGTGTGGAAAGACTAACAACACTATTTCCGCTTCGTGATTCAAAGATGTGTAACTGACAGTTTATATCGGCTTATTTTTCAGGCCAATCATCTACTATTACATAATTGTCCAAAGAGAAGATTATGTCAAATGCGAACCTACAATTCTTGCTTCAAAGGGTCTCAAATTATGGGAATATCTATGTCAAAGAAAGCTATAAAAAAGGAAAATAAACATCAAACCCACATCTCATTAATTTAGCTCAAAGATTATGTTATATGCAGGACATCACAGGATAAAACACTAAATCAACAAATCTACTACTCTACTACTACTGTTTCTTTTAAGTTAAAGAGAGTACAGACAGCACATTCTCTAGTCAAGAATTCGAATCCCTTAAATCCCATACCAACACTGAATCAGGTAGTGGAACTACCATTTGCATTATGGATTGCTTGACGGAGCTCACTGAAGAAATCTTTCTTCAATCCAGCAGAAGCAGCAGGTTGCATCATCTGAAGGCAAAATCCAAAATTTGCATGAGAGAGAGAGACAGAGTAAGAGTGAGAGAGTGAGAGAGATAGAGAGAGACTGAGAGAGATGAATAAGTAAAGCTAGAAATGTCTAACCAGATGTGGAAGTATTGGATGTCCCCAAGGTGATGACACTCCACTCCTTGTATACAAGATTGGCTTTTCTGTTGAAATACAACTTAAAATATGTCAGATATGAATACACTTTCCCAGACAGGTTAGTACATGTATTTCACAGCTTTTAAGCACAACAACATCTATACCTCAGATGTCTGCCTAATTAGACACATAAGTGTAAAACCACAGTCTATTTCTCAAGATTTTTGTTCTGTTCGCATTCAAAATAATTTGCAAACAAGTTATCTTAGATGGAATCCCCAAAACGATAATACTGGTTAAATCATACAACACAATGGCTAGTCAGTGGGGGAGCCATAGGCTCATTATTACAAAAGGATTATAATTTCATAGAGGAGTTGTCTGAGCTTCAAATGACAACCCTTGCAACATACTGTGTCATCAATGCTTAAACTCAACAAAATAAACCAACTCTACATCCAGCTTCAAGACTAATCTGCTTACTCAAAGGTACAACTACTTTCTCATCCTACCACAGGAACCAGCAAATGCCAAGAACTTGAGAAAGAGATCTTCGAATATGCAAAAGAAAAGCGGTCAAACAGATTTCTAAAGGGCAAATGTCTGAATTCTGCTGACAAACATATTGACCAGCCTCCTAATGCCTTTTTCATAAAGCATGGTTTGATGAGTTAAGCGTGAAAAACTGGCGAGGACACTATAATCAATATTTAAAATACATTTACACGAAACCAGGCTAGAACAACATTTCCAATATATGTACATTATGAACAAAAAAGATACTAGAGAAATTGACCAACTGTTCACTAAAATGTTATTAAACTATAGTCCATGAATAGTTAAAATAGCACAGCACAGAGTTGGAGAGACTACATCAGAGACAAATTAAAGAACTAGCAGCAAGGACATTGAATCACAAAAAACAAATCATAAACTGCGTACCAGAGGAATTATCCGGGAGACTATTTAGTGCATTCATCGCAGCTGCCCAGCCTACATTAAGAATAGACACATTGTTATATAGGTTGATAGCTTTATAGAAGCATCATCATTTCTAAAAAGTTCATGAAGATACAAGACCTAACTGGACACCAAGAACCACTTTAAAGAGTGATAATAAAGCAAAAACTAGTCTATATGGCCCTTAAATGCAGCTACAATAACACGGAGAACTATACTAAACATCAAGTAATCAGCTAAACCGATGCGTGAAATCTAAATTTCCCTACAAAGATGTCAACACTTACCACTCCACCAGCATCAGATATGTGACAGTTCACAATCCCTAGAATATTTAACCAGTGATGCGATAAATACAAAGCATAAAAAAAACACAAAGACTGCCATAAGAATCAAGAATCCACAAGGACTTACGATCATTCAATAGCTGAGCTGCTTCGCTGTTGCTGCAGCCATGTAATGGTATCAATGCCACTGAAGAGAATTCCCCGCCACGATAGCTGCTGTTTGTGTCCCTGGGGAAACCAACCTGAGCTTTATCCCCGTCACTAGTATAGCTATTTCCTCGTTCCAAACGGTCTGTAAAGTAAGCATGTCAAATACAGAAGAGTGCATGAGAGAAAGAATATAAGGCCTATTAAATGAAGATAAATTATGCAACTTCATAAGAGCATACACAGTCAACTGCAATTGAGAATGCAACAGAACAAGGATTACTGAGAAAAAGGCACCGAAGGAAACAAGATGACAAACTTTGGAAAACTATCTCACATTGATATTGAATGTTAATATGCTAGGGTTTAAACGATCCATTAAAGTCCGCTGGTTCGATAAAAGCAATAACTGGTTATAAATAGAACTGTAGAGAGAGCCTAGCCAAGAATGCGATATGATTTCTAGTCCCTCTTCTGATAAGGTAAGCATCTAATGGTAAGAAGGGCAGGTTTACAAGAAAGGTGAGAAAAAGGCAATTTACAGGTACTTACTAAGACAAAGCAAACCAAAGCCTAAGCTAGAAAGGGGCTAGATTTTCATCAGCCATCTTACAAGATTGACATGAAACTTATAGTAAACATTATGGAAATTGATAAAAAGAGCTAATCCGAATTTAATGTCAAATGGAGAATCAGGAAAATAAAGCTAAAACTTGCTCTAAGTGGATTTATTATCTGATTAAATAGATAGAGAAGTTAATGTCATGTCATTCATTGTATCATATATGTCAAAGATGCACACATAAATGACACATAGGAAGTGAAGGAACAAGTGGCAACTTAATGTAACTCAATTAGTATGTTTCTTTTAGGAGAGTGGACGGGCTATTCATATGAGTCAAAATATAAACTCCTAAAAATCTCTGATAGCTTTTCTGCAAAGAGATAAGGAACAGGACACATTAATTCGAGTTAATTAATAAAAGAACTAATTTTGACAAACAAAAATAACTAAGAGTGCATTTCCATGCTATTCCCAGTTCCTCTCCATCACAAGATAACTATTACAACTCTCACTCATACAGGTAATGTAATCTACACTTCCAGAATTCTACATATCTGCAGCGTGGAACTTTTATTGGTATGAATCATCTAGGCCGTATCAAATTTCTTATACACCTCTCCAAAGAAGGAAAGTGATCAGTGTGGAGTGTCATTCTTCCAGCTAAAAAGTAAGTAATTACATACCTCCTCCAGATTTACGCCTCCCTAGTCCACGGTTCCTGCAATAGCCAATGGATGAATATGAGTAATCACATTCAAGCAACTCTTTGGCAACTAAGCGGAGGAAAATTTTCTTTTCCTGTATGCAAAATTGCAGTAAAAGCTTGATAAAAGTACCGTTGATTGGGAGGTGCATATCGTTTGACGGGAGCAACGTTTGCGGAGGCCGACGAATCATTGGTAGGATTCTCCAGCATCTTTTTCAACAACTTTTAAGATAATTTCCTGCAAAAGCGGATGCCGGTGCCGCAGGTTTCTGCTCCTCTATTTACAAATTCAATTGATCTTGATTTTAGCTGAAAGAATGAGGAGGCATATCGTTTCAGGATGCGGCGTCGGTGACCGGTGATCCGACGATGAGGATCGACCCCTAAGTTATTACTACACCCGCCGTCGAAGAGCACTCCGGATCGGAGGATAAAAATATTACGAGGGTTTTTTGTGATATCACGAAGAGGATACTTTTGCAGGCGGACGAGTCACAAAAGGTCAAAGGGTAGATCTTCCTCACGCGCTCTATTAAGGACGGGGCCTCACTTGCCTTCATTTTTTCATCTTATTTTCCATTTTACTGTAAATGGATCACGGGTCAAATAACAAACCAAGCCCATTTCTGGAAAACGCAGAACGGTGGCGCCAAACTGTTAGTCTCAAAGAATCGCATAAAATTCTTTAGAAACCCTTTCTAGAATCAGGAAGAAGAAACCGCCGATGTTGGGAGGAAAGGAAGAAGAAAGAATCCACAACCGGCTTCCACTGAAACCCCATGTTTCTTTCAATAATTATTACAGTTGGAAGGAGAAGGTATTATGCTTCTATGCTCGCGCTATTTAAATTCTCGTATATCTGGGATTTTTTATGTATTTATTTTTTGATGATTGTGTTATCAAACAGAGTTCTTTTGATCAATTGCAGCTCAGAGAGAAATGTTTCAAGAGGGTCAGGGAGGATCGGAATCGGCTGCTCTGGAAACTCAGATTATCCAATAACATGGATCAATCTATACATTCACAGGTTCTAATTTTTTCGTGTCATATATTTGGGGACTTAGTAATTTAAACCTTTGCCTTCCCAAACCCAAGGTTATTCTTGGTTTTTCGTTTGAATTGGATAAAAGATTAGACACCCACACCCTTGTTTCAAAAGGGTTGGAAGAGTTTTTCCCTTTTTTTTGTTGTAAGGACCTAATTCTGTTAGTTCAAAGTTCGAAGTATAGACAGGAAACTTCTCCCTGCTGTGGAGTTGGTTTAATGGTGATAGTGTTCGAAATGGTTTAGGCGGCAGAATTTGGTATGAAACTATATTTGCAAAATCAACTGAACTTTTTGTCCCAGTGCTAATATTTGGTGGCAAAAATGTATTGTCCAGACCCATTTTAATGAACTTCCTACAATTGTATGAGAGCCAAATTCAGTTTCTTTCAGCAAAGCAAGATTCAGTTTATGTTTGCATTTTTTGAAAGTCTTTTTTATCAACTTCTGGCTGTAGGATATCAAATCGACTTTCAGGGACATAGTTTCTGATGAACTCAAAAGCATAAAGTCTTCGTCTATAGACAGCAATTTTGATGAATTACCTACAATTCCTGCCGATGGTGATGCAATTTGGGAATATAATGGACTGCCCATAGCTGATGAAGGAGACTGTGAAGACATTTTATTAGAGATGCAGAAGATATTCTATGAGGAACTTAGGTTGGAAGAGGGTAGAAAAGGTATACTCCTTTGGACCCTAAATGGTGGCCAATTTGGCCCCTAAAGGTCTAACCTGTGAAATGACGTAGATTTTCTGCACAGTTAAAGTTTTAACATCATCCCTACACTGGTTCTTAGATCCATCAAATGCTGTCATCTTTGAATAAGTTTAAATTTTGCTTCTATGTTTTTTACCTGAGCATACCATTATTTTGATTGCGAATTGAGATGAGAGAGGGCATTCAGTGGGAGGAATTCAATTGGGCATTGGAGTTATCTGTAATCTTTCTGTTATATCTGCTTTTCTATCCGTTACTATGGGAAATTTTAAATCTTCCATTCATCATTTTTCAGCTTAAATTTAATTTGGCTCCTTGCAGAATCGGAAATCATGAGCTGGGATGATGAAGAAGATGAATACTTGGCGCGTGAAGTTCTTAAGCATATGCAGCTTCAGGATGAACAGGTATGATATTAACAAGATTGGATTGCGCTGGTTGAGCTAGCTACTTTTGTGCAAATATCTTATGTCCTCCATCATTAACTATTGACATCTAGCTACAATTTTATGTGTTCAATACGGTGGCGAATATTTGGTCCCGTGGTGCCTCTTCTGCTAGATGTCTCTTACTAAAACTTTTCTGATTGATCTAGCAACATTTTCAAAACCATAAATGAAATATCGGATTGGTTCTCTTTCATGGGCAGCTTTTTGGTCACCCCTATTTGCAACTTCTCCTGCATTTTGTGAAACATCTGGACCGACAATTATAATTTACAAGATTTACTTGCATGATTATAACAGTTAAATAAATGAAGATAGCTGGGCCACAATTGTATTCTTTTGAAAATTTCCATTCCCGATCCCTATGCAGTTAGCCGAAGTTATACAGTAGGAAGATGGATAAGGGAAGGTAGGATTATCATTCTCTTCAAGCATTTTTGTTTTTGGGTTAGTTTATTCACTTGGAAAGTTTAGCTTTGTATTCCAACTGATATGCAAGATTAGTCATTTCATTATGTGAGAGAGTTCAATATTTTTACTTCTCTATCTTATCTTTAGTTTTACTCTGTCATTCCTCCCTCTTTTCCAGTAGTACAGAGTTAGAGGACATCTCTATGCATATCCTACGGTTTTTAAGATCGAACCTTTTAGTTCAATGTTCTTTGCATCTGCATGAATTATCATTCCAGATTTGTGTTCGTTATCTTAGGAGATTTCGAAACATTTTCTGCAGGGGCAGAATGATGTTTGGTGTCCTATTTGTAAGCATGGGGTGCTGCAAGAACATTGCCGTCTTATATTTTGCAATTTATGTCAACTTAAAATTGACAGAGCCGATGAGGTTGTATATCTTTTCCCTCATATTTCAATGTTAGCTTTGAATTACTTTTTCAATTTTAGAGTTCTCCATGTGCTTGTTCTTATACGTTTCTTCAGACTGCGCTGCGGCAAAATGTCTACAACCGGGGTAAACTGTATGTAGTTCTGATTACGAATTGTGATCTTTGTTTTCTATCATGTATGTTATGCCGTTTTCTGTTTTCTCTGTTAATTCCACGCGTGATAGTGCTTGTCTTGTCAATTATGTGAAGCAGTGAGACAGTAACTTAAGGAGATTTTGTTGCTTGGTGTCACTTATTTTAGTGTTATGGCACAGGTAAATTTGGAATTCTTGCGTAGTCGGTTGGCTGAAGCTCACGCTGATCATCTTGACCGGGGTTGCAAATTGAGACCTGGGTTCTGCATAGAGAGTAGATTTGGGCTTACAGCTCTATACATCAAGTGTGAGGATTGCCGTACATTTGAGGTTGTGATATAGGGCCGTATAGCCATCTTACAGAAACAGCTTGTTTGAAAATTAAGTTTACACAGAAGCATGTTGTGTGCAAAACACCTTTTTTCCAATGGTTAATGTCAATAAGGCAAGATTTTACAAGCATGTCGGTAGTAATTAAACTGTTAAATTGTTTACAACAAAAATTGAATTGCCTCCGCTACACTTTACTGGCAAAGAGAATGAACAAATCATTGCCAGCGGTGTTCACAAAATCAACAATACATTGGAGAAACAGCATTAAGATAAGTTTAGAGATAATAAATACTTCACTTCAGGATAAAACCAAAATTCAACAGCAGAATTGAAATATTGGACAAACACCTTTTAAGGAGCTTAAAAAATGGCACAAGGTTCATTTCATGCCATGGATCAAGTATTGGTATACATCTATGACCACCAGAACAAAATCAAACAATGATTTCTACGAGGAAAGTTAGTAAAAGGACGACTAATTGCATTATGCACTCTTTGGCAAGTGTTGGCAAAAAACTAGAAAACGGTTAAGACATCAATGTACACCTATCTACCGTCCCACTCCTCATCCAACATTCCTCTTGCAATCTCCATCAATTTACAGCAATATATTTTTATACCTTACCGAGAACTAGATCGCCAAAGGAAATCCAATGTCGCAAATGCCCCTTGAATCAGATCAAACCGCAAAAAGCCAATTATATAGATACAACAGCAACAATCGCGTTATACAGTATTTCTCAAAGTGGCTGGCTTGTTTCTTCAACAAAACAGAGCTTCCCTGGCAGACTTGCCTTTAAAGCACATTAGAAGGCTTTCAAAAAAGCTCCTCTGAATTAAATTTGTTCCAAGCCTCCTACATTTGTTTATCAAGAAAAAAAAAAAAAACAAAATGAGCACCATAATGCCAATTTAGCAAACTGCAACACTTAAATTAGATCAAACCAACAGCAAAAAGAAACAAAGATACAGTTTGTTTTTAATGTTACAGATGCATTTCATGGTTAAAGGAGAAGTGCAATAAGCTTTCTTGCTAGCTGTAGTTAGGTCCCTTGACTCTCTTCTCGCGATTTCATCATATATAGAAGATGAGTTTCCAATGTTGCACAAATTCGTTGAGAAGGTAGAAGAGTCATCACAGCCATAAAAAGTTAAGTGCATGATGCATGAACAAGACTCCAATATATAAAGACAGAATGCTGAAAGTTCTCTTTGCTGACATATAGAAAGAATTATGCCAACTAAAAGCGGATATGACTTATGAGTTTGCTTAAACAAAAAATATCAGATGTCAAATTCAGTCCAAAAACAAAGAGGAAAGTAAGAAACTGTCACTCCTGACATAAACAGGAAAAAACTGTCTCTCAAATAAAGACACAAGTACCTTGAGCAAGTCGAAGACCTTTGCCGCAACATACTTCTGTTCGGAAGTGGCACCTTTTTGTTGGACTTTATCAGGATGTATGCACAAAGTAGCTTTTCTATAAACTTTTTTCACCGAGATGGCAGTAATCAGGTCAGTCAAAGAAACTGGTTGCCAACCACATTCAGGCCACAGCACCTAAGTATCACAAATAATGTTAGTTGAGCCTGCGTGTGTGTGCATGTGGGGGTGTGTGTGTGTGTGTGTGTGTGTGTGAGAGAGAGAGAGAGAGAAAGAGAGAGAGGAAGCAGTAAGCACTATTCTCAATTACTAAAACTAAAATGATGATATTGATCCTCCATTGATATTTATACAATGAAGTGATTGTTTGTACAAGAATTACACAACTCAATAAAGGCAGAATACGCACATATTGCAAGGTTGACAGAAGAGCTCGCAAATTTCCTTCTTTCCCTGCAGCCCAGCGCTTGATTTCAATATCCATAGTCTCTGCTAGTTTCTGCAGCAAAAACAACAAATATTAACATAGCATATGGCATATATCCTAAAAAAAAAACTAGTCACCTATAAACACAAGCACAATAACTGGGGGAGAAAAAATGAGTCAGCTACCACTTCTTTTCGAACCTTTTCATAGATGCCATATGCAAATTCACAACTAGTAAGAAGCAACAAAGTTCACTTAAAAGAAACCATAATCAGTTTCCAATTCCATGATGAATTTCACCAGGTTTCAAAGTCAATATTTACCTGGACAACGATAGTCTATTATGATTGCTTTCTTTATACAGTGTAGGCCATCTAAGTTACAGGAAGATGGCAAGTAATCAAAAATCATTGAAAGCCAATGTCATATATAAAAGTTAAAACACGTGATTTATAACAACTATTATTTGAATCTTCCCAAAAAAAATCATTTCCAAACATAAAAGGGAACGACATTGAATCAAAACGACATGTCGATTCACGGAGTGTACAAGTCAGAATTAACTATATAAAGCAATGCATGGCTCAATCGTTAAAGCCAAAACACAACACGTGAACATCCTCAAGATTATTGCATGTATACAAAAATCAACTGAAGGTCTTTAGCACCTCCGTAATACTCCCAATTCTTTAAATGGCATAAAATTCATAAACTTACATCTCGTTTCTCCTGTTCCTCCTTAGCTTCGAGATCACGCTTATTCTTCTCAGCCACAGCTTCCATCTATGTAGATGAGAACTCAATCATCAGTATAATAGCGACAGACCATCCAGGTAAAGAAAGAGGCTGAAGCTATGAAAAGAATACAAGAAATGCTCTCTATCTTTTAAGTTCACTGTGAATTTCATTACTTACAGCACGCTTTCGTACTCTTTCTTCTCGCTCCCATCTAGCTTTTCTTCTTTCTGCACTCTCTCCTGGAATTTCTTCAAATGTTGCAGCTCCTGGAACTGCATTAACAGGAAATTTAATCAGCTAGATGCATATTAATGAAGAGGACTACAAAATGTTTCAGCTTCTACTTCAACTAAGTAAACAAAATTAAACCTCCAATAAGTGAAGATAGATCATCAAGAACATTGGCTGCTGAAGATGTTTTCCTCATGTTGGGCGCATTGGACGTGTTGGGTTTGTTGGTATCCTGCGAAGAATAAGATGGAAAAAGAAAAATGGATCTCAACCAACTAATAAAAATAAAAACTACTTCAACAGAATCACTTTTGATTTGGTGCTCACAGGAGAACTGGCTCTCGGTCTGGGAGCACTACTCGGTCGAGAACCCGCACCAAAAAATGATTCAAGATCATTATTATCATATCTCTGCTGATCAGTGCGAGCTGCATTAGCAGCTTTTCCTCGAGCTTCTGCAGCAGCTCTTTCCCGAGCCTCGGCAGTAGCTCTTTCAGCAGCAGCTCGTTCAGCTCGACGCTGTGCTTCAGCAGCAGCTCTATCCCTTGCTTCTTTTTCCCTGGCTTCTGCATTTGCCTTTTCTCTAGCTTCAGCAGCAGCTTTCTCTACCCGTTCCTTAGCCTCAGCTGCTAGTCTTTCACGAGCTTCAGCTTGTGCTCTCAGAACCGCTTGTCTCTCCGCTTTTTCTCGAGCTACAGCTTGTGCAGCGCGGTCTGCTTTTAGGCGAGCTTCAGCAGCTGCTCTCTCCCGCGCTTCCCTAGTGGCCCTTTCCACAGCTTGTCTTGCCCTTGCATTTTCAATCTCCCTAGCTCTTTCCCTCTCCCTCTCCTTCTCAAGTCTCCTCTTCTCTCTCTCCTCTTCTTCTCTTTTGCGCTGCTCCTGCTCCAGTCTCTCTTGATTTTCCCGGAACTCTCTCTCTTGTGCATCTAACATGGCTTGTTCATCTTTATCTAATTGTGTAGATTCACGACTCCTAGCTACCTTTGCATATTCTCTTTCACGCACTTCCTTAGCATGCCTAAATTTGGCCTCAGCTATATCCATAGCCTCCTTCATAGCAGCAGCTGATGCAACAGCAGCAGAGCTTGCATTCATTTCCTCACCAGAATGAAAATTAACCTTGTCAACGCTATTACGGGTACTGCCCCTCGCAAAATCCTCCAGTTCATCTATTTGTGAACCAGGAGCTCCTTTGCTAGCATCAGGAAAACCTTTGGGACTTTGCGCGTACGCACTGTAACCCGGAGGTGAAGCAAAGTCATCACTCTTCTTCCTTGCGTTAGAAGGAAAGGAGCCCGTTTCTAATGTTGAAGTTCGTCTTGGTATAGGCGGCGGGGGCCGCGAAGGAGGAGGAGCACTTGTGGGCTGAGTGAAAAGAGGAACCTCTGACACAGTTAACCATACATCATCATACTGCTGGGCATGTTCTTCTGATCGTGGAGACATATCTGGCTGGGAGTTGGTCCCATTCAATTTCTCACTCACAGGTGGCGGTGAAGAAGCATTTTGACGAACTGAATTTTGAGGAGCATTTGCAGAAGCATTCGGCATATCAAAGAGTGGAGAATCATGTAAACTCTCCTCAGGTGCATTTCTCTGAAAGTGGCTTTCAGATTGTTTAAAAGAAGATCTCAAAATGTGCTCTCTATTTCCTGCTGTTTGAGTCTCACTCACCCTCGAGCTTGATCGTGACGGACTTTTTTCCTTCTCCATTCTGCTCTTGTCCGGTGAAAAAGGAGTTGCGGAAGTTCCGAAACCATTCAGTGGATCCAGAAAATCAAAAACTCCACCAGCAGCAGCAGAAGTGTCCGGTTTCGTAGTTCCTGATTTGCCAAGATTGCCAATCTCTTCAAGTGGATCTGTAAAGATCCCTGGTGTTGAAGAAACAGGAGATGAAGTCTCCAACACAACGAAGGGATCATGAATGACATTAGAACTGGACTTTGGATCTCGACTAGACTCTGAAACTGGCCTGAACCCAACAAAATAAGGGAAACACAACAAGGTTGAGAAGTCGGATTTAAAAGAGACATCAGAACATGTCCACAACGAAATGCTAATCAGGCTAGAGCAACCGGAAAGGGCTAAAAATCACTAAACAAAACTTTTGCGGCCAGGATTTTAGATAGTGAATACTCTTAGTAATGAACCCCATTCTCTGACGCATAATAAAGCATAATTACTTATACTACAGAACATTATCAGACAGGGATACTTCATATCCATTTAAAAATCAAGGATTCTTATACCAAGCAAAAAAGAATGCACGTATAGTTACCATTGCAACATAAAATTGCCAGATACACATGGAACATATCCATCACTAACGACACCACTTAACTTTAGGAATTAGTATCCAAATCACTAACCAACACACACTTGAATAACCGTAAAAATCTTTATCCTGATAAATGAAGTGACATAAAATCCCAAACTGTTCACAGAAAAAATTCAGATATTTAACCAGAAATTTTCATAATCTTCCGACATAGTTACATAATTTGCTGTCAGTATAGAGAATTCTAGCCATTTGGTGTGTATATTATTTCAAACTTCCAAACTAAAGCTAGGACAAGATCTAAATTAGGCTTTTCCAAGGCTGTCTGTAGTACGGATACAAGTCTCTTGTAAGATACAATAATCCGGTCTCAAAACATTGACCCTCTCCTCTGTCGTTGATCCAGATATCTACTGAGTGATCCGCCAAAGGCTGAACATGCCAGAACTGCAGAAGTACAATATAAACTACAAACACATGCTTTGCTTCATTATCATATCCACAAGTTCTGATGTAACAGGAATGATTTCATATTACATAAGATTGCACAACAAACATCCTAACTTGGCATATTTGGAACATGTAGACTAATTCCATGACCCAAATAACAGTTCACCGCAGCTAAATTAAATATAAGGCGTAATACCAGTTAAATTCATTTCTATCCAAGGATTTATAAAAATTTTCAAATCTGAGCCTTAGCTAAGCAAGAGATCAAGTACCTCTTACTACTGGCAGGATTGCCACTCCCAAGGCCGTTCAATATATCATCAAACCCTCGCGAACTTGAGCTCCTACTACTACTCTTGACCTCCGGTACTGGCTCTTTTCTCGTCAAGTTATCCAAGAATTCAAATCCAGTCGAAGTAGATGAAGTCTTTCTGGTCTCCCCCTCACTCTGGCCTAATTTTCCGAGAAGATCATCTGGCTCATCAATGCGAGTGTTACTATTACCTGTACTGCTCCATCCAGGGGGTGAAGCCACGGAGGAAAACCCATCGTCATCGAATCTCCCCATAGATGCCGAGGAAACCGATTTGCTTTTCACCCCAGGCAATCCATTAAAGATATCATCATCATACACAGGCTTATCATACACCGGAGCTGAAGTTGTTTTGGTACTGTTACTATTACCGCCGCTAGCCGGTGCCGCTGATGAATTGAAAATAGAATCATAGTCAAAATCGTCCATCCCTGAGGACGGCTTGCTGCTGTTGCTATTACTATAGCTATAGTATTTAGGAGGTCCGCCGTTGAAGAAACCGCCGTCTCCGCCGCGACCACCGTGATCGTCATCGTAGATCGCGGTGAATGAGGATCGAGTGGAGGCGGAGCGTCGATCTCCAGCTTCGGATCTCATAGGGTTCGATTTGCCTTGGGGTCTGAAACCGTAGCCGCGAGCTAAAACATCAAGGTCATCCATATTTGCTGGATTTGGATACTCCGGCGGATCTGCCCTTAACCCAAACTAATCAAAAAATGGATCTGGGAAAAAAAAAAGGCCTATAAATTAACCCAACAGAAACTGACAAAGAAAGAAGAACGATCCTCGAGGAAGAAAATTCAAAAAGGGGCAAAATCGGAGAGACGTTTGTACAATTACAGCGAAGATATATCTATACACATATGATTTGTAAGATGCGCAATCATAAAGAGGATGAATGAAATGAGGAAGAATTCCGAAAAGGGTCTGGAAAATACAAATCAAATTAAGGTAAATTGAGGAGTATGTTTGTTCATAGATTCAAATTCTTGAGATTGTAACAGTGAGGGGGCTGGAGAAGAAGGCGATTGGGTGGATTCTTTGATACTTTCTTCGTCCTGTGTCGTCCCCTTTTCCTGTTGCCTTCTCTCTCGTTTTTTGTGGTTTTGTTGTTCTTCTTCATTGTTTTGATTTATTCAATTGATTGAGTCGATTCGATTTTTTTTTTCTTTGTTTTCTTCTTTTCTTTTTGAAAAAAAAAATTATAAAAAAATAAGAAATCAGACTTCGGCCTTGGTATTTTTAGTTAATTTTTATTTTTGGACTCTTTAGTTCTGGGTATTGATCAATTACCCCAAAACTTCACTAGTGCCAATAATAGTAGAGGACAGAGTCTGGACAAATACGTTCAATCCTTTTGCATTAACATGATCATGATTATGTTCGTTCTTCACTTTATTCACAAGTCAGTACATAAATCTATAAATTTTTTGGTTTTTTTTGCATTTTGGTCATGGCTGCTTTTGAAGTTAAAACTTTTTGATTTTGATGTAATAATGGTATGTATATTTTGCATTTGTGTGAAACAAATATCAAGTCATGTTTAATTCCAAAACAAAATTATTGTGTTTGTTGTAACAATACAATCATAATAAAAAGTCTAACTTTTTCCCTACACATATTAAATTTAAATATTACAGACAAATTAATTTGTAAAGAATGACACTGACAACATGTCATATTGCCATGTTTTAAACCGAATCTATAAGGTGAGTGTATGCATATATCAATGTTTATTTGCGCGAGTGGTGTCATTAATTAGCAAGCTCTATTGTTGTCCCCTAAAAGTAGTAATTATTTCAAAGAGCATGCCATATTTGTAAATGTGACAAAGGATAAAAATCAAAATAGCAGATTATATGGATCACCTAAAAAGTAAAAGGATACATCATAAGATCAAGCAATCTTGTATAGTGAGTTACAATGTATCTATGTAGTGTAAGAAATGGTGGATTATTGTCCTACTCCCAAAAAAGATTTTAAAAAAATTACATTGACCCAAATAATAAAATAAGTTAATAATAAAAGTAATGATATCTAGAAACCACAAAATATTTAACAGATCACACAAACAAAATTAGTCTCTCAGTCTCACTCTCAACTCTAAAACAATAGAAGTAATAAAAATGATAACCAGAGGAACCGCATAAGCAGCATTCCATTTACTGCCTCCTTTACCGATGCTGATACCGTAAAAAACATTTATCGCGGCCAACACGATCAATACTCTTCCCAGTCCCTGGTGATACCAATTCCAATATTTCCTCACTTTGGATTCTTTCCCTGGCCGGGCCAATAGCGCAATCACCTACCAAAAATCACCATTCATCCGTATCAGTGTCACTATAACCAAATTATCCCTTCTATTACCTAATAGTCAATAGTCCACTTTATCGTGACGAAAAAATACAATTTTTATGAAATGGAGAATGTAACGATCATTCAATAATACTAGTTATTGACAGCGTGTAATATAAAAGATGTGATTAAAACCTGGAGGCAGCCAATAATAAGAACGACGATGCCGATGGCTTTGTGTTTGTCCACATCGGTGCTGACACGATTGCTTAAGACTAAACCACAAATAATACCGGCCACGCCAAGGATGAAACTCAATGATTGGATGGCAGCGTGGGAGTAAAACCAGATGGGATCCCATTGCCTCATGTATCGAGCCACCAAAGCTCCTATCTGCATCATGATTCCCCATGATATTATCACTAGTATCCCATGGCTTCTTCTCAGTGAATCTGTGTTTGACCCCTTTGTTTGGGTTTGACCTGAAAGAAATTATTTGCACCCCCACAAACACCTGATTAATCGATTCATTCAAAACAATCTCAAACGCATGCGCTTATTTAAGAAGATTTTACGTTATATTAAGGTTGTTGAGAAGTTTCTCCTAACGATTTCTGTACATAACTTAACTGAATATGTAAATCAATATTATTTTTCAACGATTACTTCGTGAGCCGTGTTGATATTTACAAATATATTTTCATTTTTATAGAGCTACACAAAACCATAATGATAATCATGAAAACATAGATTAAGTTTCATTGTGATTCACTTATCACGAAATTTAATCAACATTTTTGTTCATTCCATTCATATTTCTTTATCAATTCTACTTTATTCAACTACATAAATTGGTAAAATTGGTTGAATATCAGAAGGGTCAAAATTTGGGCTTATGATAGTCCTATTGGGCCCATTATTAATCTTTTGTACCTATATGTGGTAAATGTGGTCCAATTCTCTACTGGCCAACATTAGAGTAAATTGACTTCGCAACTCTAGGCTTTGGTTATTAATCTAATGCTAATTTGGGTATGAAATTTCAGGGACGAGCCCCGGTCCATCTAGGATCCTGAGGCCCACCTGGAATGATTGAGATAATCTAGATTCTAATTGGTAATGATGGTGACAAAACCCACACGCTTACAGGTCATAAGCCTAATCATTTCAGAATTAACAACTGACCCTCCAAAAAATAAAAGTGAGAGAAAATAATGACCTCATTGACACTTGTAAGTGTTCATGAAGTTCTTGAATCTGGTAAAAAGTTACAACAAAGTAATCTATCTGAAGAATGACCAATAACGAAAATGATAGGTCGGGTGAAATGGTTAAAGATGACGGTTTAAAAAATTCAGGCGAAGTTGCATGGAAAGCAGAGGGAGAGAGGACAGTATTGCCTTGCAAGTCAGCCATGTTCAAAGATTTTTTGCAAGTTGGCCACGAATGAAGCATCTAAATCTAATTATTATTAGGTGAATAATTTTTTTATAAAGAAAAAACTTCGTATACAAAATATTCAAAACAAGAGCTGTCACGGTCCCTACCTTCTTACGGACACATTCAACTAATCCCACCTTACATTAAAAACATTTGCCCAAAACCCAAAAGTTCAACTTTAGTTCATTGAAAATTTGAATTTTGAACTTTTTTCTGAAACGAAAATGTAAAAAGTAGTACTCACTCCGTCCCATAATTATTATCCAGTTTGAGTTTTCATTTCTAGTTCAAATATTATCTAGTATGAGTTTTCATTTCTAGTTCAAATATTTTAAACTAGACAATATTGTTCAATTTGAGTTGTTTTCATTTCTAGTTCAAATGTTTTGAACTAGACGGAATTTGGCCGGAATCTGGCCGACCGGCAGCGACAGGGGGCTGGTGGTGATAGAAGTGGTCCGGTAGTGGTAGATGAAAATTGTGTAAAAATAATTTTTGGAATATTTTTTAAAAAGTGAATTTAAAAATTTGTTTGGATAGTATTGGGATTTGTGTTTGAGAGGTATTTTAAGAAGTAAAATGAGACAAACATGTAAAATAAGTGTTGGACAAACCAGCCCTAAAAAGTCTTGCTTCATAGACAAGACACGGAAAAATGTCCAACGAATCAGACATGTAACACTGACCGTAAAAGAAATTTTGATTATGCAAACATCAAATATTCCGAAATGCTTCATTTGTTTTGTAGTCATTCTTTCATGTTAATATTCAGTTTGCCTGTAATTGGGATCTTGTTTTACGTCAAAATCACAAGAAAGCGACGCCAAAATTAAACTCCCAAATTGCTCCAAAAAAAAAATGATTTGGTCAATGAAAGAGATTACATACCCGTGGCATAATTCAGGACAGTGGAGATATAATCAGAGTGCTGAACCAAACGGAAATTAGGCGGGCCGGAGGGGAGTAGGCCGGAGGGTCCGACGGCGTAGATGATCCGGTTCGTGGGCTGATCGGTGTTGGTCAACTGGAAAGCTAGATAGATTCGAGAAGGCGACGTTAGAGCTTTGGATGCGTTCCCCACCTGTAAGTTGCTCCGATCAGCCACCACCTCCGCCGGCGATTGTCCTCCCAAGAAATACCGTTTGATGATCGGCAAACCGTCCGATCCGACCCATCCCACAATCGCACTTGACCCGACCATCTTCCCGTTGGGCGAAAACCCAATCGCTACGTAAGCATTTGAATTTGAATTCGGAGCCGACAGAACGAAGCTCCATTCCCCTGGCCCTGTTTTTGAATACTGAAAGGGAAAAATTAACATTAATTTCATATTCTTCTAGCTATAATTATCAAAATATGGGCTCCATAATTGATGAGTACTTACTCTGAGGATGAAACCTTGAGAAGCCCAAACCGAATTGCAATTGAAAGAAGTGGTGTCGAAAGGAAGCTGGGAGTTGATGGAGCTAAGATTGGAGTTACAGGAGTCATCAGATTGAGAAACAACGTTGGGAATGAGAAAGTTAAAGATGAAGAAGCTACAGATGAAAAGGATTAATGTTTCTTTCATCTTGCTTCTCAATGTGGTGTTACGTAACAGAGGAAGCAGAGGAAGCAGGGGAGTGGTTGGGATTATTATTGTTGGTGATATGAATTATAATGTGAAAGAATAAGAAGTGGAGTTGACCATAAATGGTTTTTATTCTGGTTTTGGTACATCTAAGACGGACGTATGGAGGCTGGGGAGCTGCGTTGAATTAATATATAGTACTACTCCCTCCGTCCTGCAATTATTGTCTAATTCAGATTTTACTTTTAGTACAAATTATATTAAAAATAAAAATCCAAACTGGACAATTATTCTGGAACAAAGAGAATATTACTTTCCCCGTCTCAAAAAGTCAAAATTTTTTTTCCCTTTGCTATATCGACACCGCAAAATGAATTATCTTACTAGAATGAAGTGAGTAATAGTTTGTACTCTCTACTTTTCAAAATTATTGTCCAGTTTAAATTTTCATTTTTAATATAAGTTGAACTAAATGTGAAAATTCAAACTAGATAATAGTTTTAAGACAAAGGGAACATGTTGCTTATTATAAGATATATTACAACTACTACTAATTAAATACTACATTTTCATCTCAAAATAATTATAGAATAATCATTTCCAGGACGACTGAATTACATTAGGGGATGGGGACTCGGATTTAATTTGGTCTTAATCAAGAGAAATACTTATCCGGCACGCAGTATATTGTGAGATTGTCAATTGTCACCATTCTGTTGTTAGTTTATGGGGATTACCAGTTACTAGTTAGTTACTACTATGAAATCATGGTTTAGCTGGCCGGCGCCGGTTAGAGTTCAAGCGGCCTATTGCTCATGGGTATTTCCTAACCGGGTAACTAAGACAGTGATTTGAGAAAACGCAACAATATATTACTCCCTCATGTCCTAAACATTTTGATGTCTCCTAAATTTTACTCCCTCCGCCCCATAATTATTGTCCAGTTTAAGTTTTCATTTTTAGTTCAAAATGTACTAATAGTTAAATATCAAACTGGATAATAATTTTGGGATGGAGGGAGTATTTGTTATTATGTTTTTTTTTTATTACAAAAAAAAAAACCATAAAATATATTTTCACATTTATTATGTTCTTCTAATTAATAGAAATATTTTTAAGGTTTCATTTTCAAGGAAAACATAATAAATAAGTGAAACTAAGAAAAAATCATTACAATAAAGAGTGCATGTACTTGTTACACCTTGTCGCGAATTAAATTTTGCTTGACCTTACTCCTTAAGAACGCTGATTCGATTTGGATACATTCAATTCCTATAGACATATAATTCATCTGCGGTAATTTCTTTTACACGATTTAATTAGATTCGGTGAATTTTATAATTTGTGATAGTATCAACATCGGTAGCGAATTCATCACTTAGATAAAATATCACCTTACGTATCCTTATGAGCCTGAACGGATCTCTCAATTTCCAAAATACAAAACATAATTGGGGAGCACGTTCAAAAAATGATGATATATAACCCCAAATTTTTAAGAACATGGCGGTTGGTTGAATACGAGAAACATGAGGGCATTACGCAAATTTCTCTGGATCTCTAAAACTCTGACAAGAAACAAGGAACAAAGTTATCAGTGCAATCTCCCTCCATCAACGACCACAACCAAAGAGCTATACAATGTTCAACAAAAGTGTCAGATATACTATAAATCACTCTGGTGTTCCAAAGAGCACAGTTTGCTACGCCAAAACTAAATAGGCAACACAGGTAACCGACTTTCCTTCTGTAGAATAGAAAGAAACGTAAGAAAAAATATTGAAAAAATGGGGCAGTGTTTGATTTATAGAAACCCCACTAGGGCCAGTTCTAGAAAAGGAAAAGAAACCTTCTCCACATAAAACTTTGAAGCTTTTGGCATTCGGCAAATTTGATCAGGCTAGTTACCACCTGAGCAATACTCATGTGAGCAATTCTTAAATCACTCTTCACTGCCTCAGTAGAGACAAAAAGAACACGGAGAAATGGGAAACCAAACCACAACCTGCAGATTTTGACATTCATCAAACTCAATTCTATAAGCTAGTTGTTTTGCGCAGCCTTCCGTAACCCCATTGGGACTCCAAAAACGCCCACAGGGTTTTTCCTGTGTTCTGAACATTTCAAAAAGTGTACACTAACAAAGGATTTTTCATGTACATACGAAATAATGTTCATCTATCTGAATGCTACTTCTGAGACGCAGGATCGTGGAGATCACCCTAAGACTGCTTTTTGGTGCTTAATGGTTTCTCAGTTTTGACCCTCCTATAAAAGAGTACATAGGCAGCAGGAGACTTCACATCATCTTCATTTATAGTTGATATATGGCTGTCATCGAAATTGTACCACCTATTTTCCTCGAGAAGCTGCATAATAAACAGAGTAATTAATTAAACCTCAAGCCAGAGCAGAACCAACCAACATGATCCCCCAAAACAAGAAAAAAGAAAACAAAGTATTAATGCTCAAGTCAAACACCACAAGATGAAGACTTGCCAGATGGCACGGGATACAGACATAGAGAAGCACAGCACACTTTAGAAAGAACCAACTCCAAACTCAATTGCTTGGCTTAATGATGCCAGGACAAACAAACTACAAACAGATCATACAGTTTAACCCCTTTAATATTCGTATCAGATTGTAATCAGTTAAAACAACTAACTCAAACCAAATAAGATGAAAGATCATCGTACACAGATGAAATCAACACACCTTAATATATGCTGTGTAATGCCCACTTCCCATGCTACCATAGTGGTTAGTTAAAGCATATAATTCATACAGCTGCCGCTGTGAGTTGTTTTTGTTGGCTACATAGTTTGTCAAGTCAAACTCATGGATGGGAAAATTGACAAAAGTTTCCAACTTATGCTTCATCGATCTGCTGTATGAAAACCTTTTAAGATGGATGACAAGTACTTCAGGAAGCCTCCAAAGATCGAGCTTTTTACTAGCTTGTCGTCTCTCTTTGCATCGAGGACAGTACCTGCAACATCAAATGACAATCCAAACCAACTTCAGCACACTAAATCTACCAAACAAAACAGCACAGTGATGGGTAAACAAGAGTACAAGAGGCCATGCATGAATAATGGATAACAAAACAGTAGTATGCAGGCACTACAAACACTCCCAAAGTATGAAATGCAGAAAAAAAGTAGAAACCTACCACATGTCTTCAGGAACCAGAGGCTCCTCACGTAAAAACGATTCCAGGCAAGTATACAATGAAAGAGGTTCGGTACGAGCTTTCTTGGTTGGGGGCCCATATTTAGAGACTTCGGGCAAGTTTTCCAGGTAATGTGTGTCGTAATTTTTAAGGAGCTTCTTTGACCAATTAATAAATACCAATATTGATGGTGATGATGAAGAGTATTTGAGTGTCTTATCATCAGCAATACTGCTTAGCTCAATGCATACATTATTTTCATCCACAAAAACCAATGGAAGTTTCTGGAGGTCAGTCACTCTCGAACTGCCACCATTCTCGTGTTTTGAAGGTAAGCTGCCATTACTGCATTCTTCAGTTGAATTAGTAGCTGCAGGCAACTGAGCGGCCGCAGCTGATGAACGAGTAGTAGTCTGATTCACTTGCCCGCCATTTTCAGCTCTTAACATGGGTGAAAGCATGGTGTGAACAATTGACTGTATGTCACTACTGGTAAGTACATCCTCACATAAGATTGAGGATACAAGAGGAGTTCCATAAGGTTTCATGCCACTACCAGCTTCCCTGAGAAGAAGCATGACAAAAGAGAGTGGTAAGAAACTACGGGAAGTTAGGAGCTACAGTACAATAAAGCCTTTAAAATTGAGAAACTTCTTCCTCGAAGTGTGTATTATGCACACTGTCGGAGTTTTCAACCATGGAAAAAGACGATGGATTTATTAGAATGCATTTGCGCATACCTTTCCTCCCGTCGGTGATTCAACTGGAGGTACTTCGTATTCTTTGGTAAGTTTGGAATCTTATATGCTACAAGGTGCTCATCATCTTTAATAGAAGAAAGGGGTATCAGCGGATCTTCCATGTACTGATATATTTTGTGGCCCCGTATCTATCAACAAAAAAGAATAATAATAATATCAAAATGAGAATCATAGCAAAAGTTTATAAATCTTTAGAAAACAAAAGTAAGGTAATAAGAATGAGAGCAGACTTCTGCAAGCAAGAGTTTTTCATTTTGCTTCAAAGAACATGGTGTAGCAAGTGCTTGCTGCAGGTCCCTGCAACGCCCCTGCTTAGGGACCGCCACGGTGTAAGCAGCAGGAGGTGCACTTCCATCACAAGTGAAAACTGTAACTGTCATACTTCGGTTTGATGTAAATTGGAGGGGCAATGAGAGGTACATGAATGGATCAAATGTTACAGAGACTTTCTTGCACACAGGACAAACCAGTGTCGACTTATATTGGCCCTAGAAAACACAAAACAGTAGCATAAGCCTTAGGGGAAAAAAGGAAGACGTCTTGAAGCAATATGTGACAGATGAGAGAGCAGAAACAGACTAAAAAAGTTGGTAGTAATCAGAAACAAGAAAATGTAAACCCAGATAACAGACTATGAACGCTCACAACAAAATCATATGACAAATTACTACAGTTCAAGAAAGATCCTCCCCTTAATGCATTACAGAGACAATTATAACGAACTTTTAAACCAAGTTATTACTCATGGCATGCAGACCATTGCTTCACTTACGCATCTAAACTCAGTGGATACGAAATAAAAACAATTTAAAGATACTGCAAGTAACGATGATTCAGGTTGCAGGAAATGCTATGAAAATGTACCGTTTTCAGCCTATTCATCCCCCAATAATGACCGCTCTATGCACCACCATACAATTTTACGGGAAAATCAAACAAGCACATAAGAGAACACATAATAATATTTTCCAGAGGCTTTGCTCAGTAGCAATTTCATGACATTAACTCAAGTTTAGGAGATTTTTAACACTTGGCATTTCTACTGCATGGTTTTCCTCAGGAAAAGATTTTTAACACCCAGCTTTTCCACGCAAAGTTTATCTCTCACCTGGCATACATCCACAATAATTGAATCATTACGAGCAATGTGATTCGCCCAATACTCATCAGCTACTTCTTCATCAGATCTACCTTCTGCATCCTTAGATTTTATGTATGGTTTATGCTTGACACGGTTCAGGTCTTCGTGAAGCCCGTCCAACAAGAAGGCGAGGAGCTCCTGCATGGGAAAGGTACATCAATTAGTTTCCCTAGAACAGAAGCTACTCTGAATAAATTAAGGTCATAGTCCAACCTGGGAATCATGCTGATTGTATCCACTGAATTGTGGTGCAAAACGAGAAAGCTTCGATTTAAACGGCCGAGGGGCAACTGGGTTCCTGCCTGGTGCCCAAAGCTTCCGAAGCAAGTCGCCAAAGGCTAAAGCTAATTCACCCTGAAGTTACCAAGGATTAGATCAGGAAAAGAATGAGTTCACCAACAATCCTAATCGAATCTACAACAGCAACAACAACAAGCCTCATCCCAAAATCATGGATCATATATTACCATCAGTTGACACAAATACCCTTCATGACCTTTTTCGTAGTTTCTTTCCAAGTCTGTTTGGGTCTACACTTCCCCTTTTAATTGAGTTAGCAGTTCTGAAATTTCTAATCGCACCTAAACGTACTACTTCACATTTTAACCCAACCAACGAAATTGTGAAGCTTCCCACCGTGGAGAAGTGAAATGTCATGCAATGTTCTACAAGAAATGATAGAGAGCAATTACTGCCTCAAATAAACAAAAATAGAACAGTACGAGGCCAAGACCAGCGAAACAGTGGCAGGAGAACTTTTAAAGCTTCAATGCATGATTAACATCGCTAACAGCTATCCCAAATAGATACAGAATCAATTATAAAAGTGAAGCAATAAAAAGGATCTCAACCCAAAATAATGGAAACTAGACAATTTAAGTGAAGAAAGCAGAGAGGGTCAAAGTATTTCAGACTTACAACCATGCCTAGAGGATTTTGCCTGTTTATTTCTTGATAATAATCTTCACGGAAGTAACGTGCAAACTCTGGAGTGTGAACAAGACATTGTATGGCACTGTTCATGAAACATGTGTTACCCAGGTTCATCAATCCAGTCAAACCACATGAAGACCCCCTCGTGCTGACGCCAGAGGTCCCATATGTCTTATCTGCCTCCTTAACAGAGTCCAAGTTCGGCAGCGAGTTGCCATTCCGGGATAAACCTCTGTTTGCAGACATACCACCAGCAATTGAGTGACGTGATGGCTCCACTAAAGCCGGAGTTCCGTTGCCAGCAGCTCCATTCTCTAGAACAGAACTTGGAACACTACCAATAGTACCAACCTCCACCAAAATCTGTTCCACAGAGTTGCATCAAAGGAAAAATAAAACTGGTAAATGAATTGAACAAGCATTAGAAACTGTCATCAAACCGACCATCGACTAGTTGAGGAAAGCAATACAGGGATCAGAATAATAAAAAAATTAGACAACAAAACAATGAGCACGAGTCTAATCAGGGAAAACGTGTTAACAAGCAAACATACATAGATAAAACTTTGCACTGGGGTAATATAAGCTCATTGAAACAGAATTAACATATTATGCAGCCAGCAGATTTAAACAACAGGAAACTTGCAATATATGCACTAAGATTACCTACAGCAAAAGATTAATTCTACTTCAACCTGAGTTTTCGGGAAATTAAATACAGTTCGGCTAGGTTAGAGAATCAGTAAAATCAGCCACTTCAGTCAACTGTTAAAGAAGATAACGACATGACTTCAGCAAAAAAAAAAAAAAGAAAATAAGGACATGAACATTATTCATTACGATAACTGCAGGTGGTTTAGTTAAGAACCAAAGAAGAAACAGACTGTCAAGGAAATGGAGGGGATTTAGAGTGGCATTTTGTAATGACAAACAAATTATTGTCCATCAACTAAAAACATTAAACCCAACCCTCCTAGAAACAAAAACAAGCCTCTCAATAAAGCATGTTTTCAAGAAAATATAACTTAGAAACACCTACATCCTGATCCATTTGTATATTAGCCTCATCAAGTGTCTTCTCCATATTATCCATCAAAACATGACTTCGGCCAAGGTAATCCCAAATGCGCACCTGAAAAAATGAAGACTTAGCATGAAAAATGAATGCTACTAATCAACTGAAGAAGACTTGATGATAAGGATTGAGCTATGTGTTTACTTCTTCTGCATTAAGATGGAAGATCTCACAAGCTCTTTTGTAAAGTTCTCCAATGGTTTCCTGCCAAAACAATTACATGATTCACCCTTCAAAACCATGGCAAAAAAAAGTTATCGTTGTTTGTTACTCTCCGCCAAAGAAACAGAAGTCGCGAAAACAACATTGCTACCTTTTTGCTAATCCTTGTAGTAGAATGATCCCCTTTCGGTATCAGATGCAACTGCAGACGCAAAGGATAAACTTCTACTGACAATTCAGTTTGAGAGAGACCAGAATTTATCACTTTCCGTGCTAGTACAGGACCCCCGCCATACCTGACCACCAAGCAGCAGTTGTTATTGTTACCTACTCAGACAATCCTTTCAATGGACTAATACAATCTAATACATAATTCACTGGGCTCTACCATTAGGAAGAACTAAGTTTCTATTGCAACCTTATAAGAGGATATCTTGGCATGAACTCAAAAAAGCAACCTAAAGAATGTTGCAGGTCCTCTCAATCATTTTTCTTAATTCAATCAATGAAGTTCTAAAGTAACATGTGACGACTCACTATTTTCTGACACTTCAGCATATACTCTACTCTCTATGCTATAAGCTTTCAAGTTTCCCCTAGTTTCTAATACTCACACAGCCTCATTGCGATGAGATAGCGCAGTGATGGCCAAAAATGTACTTGAACCGTATAGGAGTAGACGATAAATTACAGGAAAAACTAATTTTTAAAACTTCTAATGTTAATCAAAACTGAAGAGCTAAAAGGCTGACAGCCATTGGACTCGCATATTTGAGAGTACATTGTTAGTGTGTTTACAGATGCATAGAATGAAACTACAACAAACAAAGGTATGTCGAAGTACTTCAATTGTTCACAGAACTTTCGTACTGAAGTTACTAATTTTTTTAATAGGACCCACAAAAATTGCGGGTATCTCATCCTATGGACTTACTGATTTACCGCTAGATTCATAAACACCAGGAAAGTCTTGAGTTTCGCAATGCCTCCACTCAACAATGTTATTTTTTCAATAGGACTCAGGGCACAAAAATTGTAGGTTTCTCATCCTTTGGATCTACTGATTTACCTTAGATTCATAAACACCGGAAAGACTTAAATTTCTCGAGGCCTCCAGTTAACATCATTAAGTGGTGATTCAAGTTGCTCAGAAAGGATGGGAGTAACAGACCCAGTACAATGATACACTTTGGGGGGTGATTTCAGATTGAACATCCTCTCTATTACCTTTGGCTTCCTACCTGCATGGACCTTACAACATCGGTGCACTTTTGTTGAGTTTTAACTAAGTTAATCATTGAAAGAAAACATGCAGCGGAATCCACTACACATACTCAAAATTAACAAATTTGCTGATGAATGTGCCCTGCATAACATGAAACTCTGCAATATCCAACTCACCATGCATAAAATTGATTCCATACTTTTTCTGGAAGCAATATGTAATCTGTGCCTTCTACAAGGGTGTCATGCAGCTCATTCCCCAGAGATGGTTTCCCTGACTCTGCTTCATCTATCAAATCAGAATTATCAATACTTGAAGGCCTTTTAAGAGCATTTGATCCAACTGAATCATGCAGCTCTAAGGAAGACCCATCATTTGAATTGGCCGGCTGGCTATGATTCACATAATCAAGCCAATCTTGCCACCACCTGTTAGCAGACAATAACCATATTATAAGCATAAGAACAACACGAAATCAAACCTCACCATGTAGATGCCAATAACTAAAATTTTGGAACGCGAATAAAATAAGTCGCAAACAAGCCAACTGTTTGCCTAGCATGATAAGTCTGGAAAATTTTTAGACCTTAAACATTGGCACGGAGAACTGTTTTTTTCAAGTGCAGAATCAGAGCCAGCAAAGAGGAATTTGTGTAAGCAAACCAAATAATAAAGTAAATTAATGCTTCAGAGTTCATCATGGTGTCATTCTGAAGCTCAAATTCCATATCACCGACCACACTATTGAAGCCCAAAGCATTCACCCTCATAATTCTCGGGTATCACCTTCTTAAACCCTAATCCTATCAGAATTAAAGCTTAAAGGGTTTCCATCACCTAGCTAATTAACTTAGGGGGAAAAAAAAAGACCATCCTCAAGAAATAACGCATGAACATTACATGAAACATAGACCCCAAAGAAAAATTTCCTTAAAAATTGGTCATCTCAAAAATTTGCTCGATCTGCATAAGACGGTGAATGGTACCTTTGAGTAATTAAATAAAAAGTGTCGCCTTCCTTAGTTTGAGACTCGGCGGCGACAGTAATGTCTCTTATCGTGAGCTTCTCTTCTTCCGGCGTCAGCCGCGGCGACGCCTCCGTCATGTTCCCGCCCTTTTCTCTCAGATGGAAAAAGAAAAAATCTTAAATAAACCGCCGGAATTTTTTTTTCTTTTTATTAAGAAACACCAGCAAAGAACCAAAAGATGGAGAGAATGAACATCCGTTACTGTTTAATCAGAGTGAGAAATAAATAGGGGAAAATTAATAGAGGGAGATAACGGCAGATATGACGGAGCACAGACGGTGAGCCGGTGGGTAATGAGAATGGCTACGGTAATATATCCTCACAGTTCCCAGTCTACTCTAGACGGTGACTCGTCTGTGAGAGGGCTTTTTTTTTTCCTTTATATTTTCTCTCCAATTTAAAAGATCCTTCTCAGAGAAAGAAAAATGAAACATAGGATTATATTAGAAAAAGGAAATTTCCTTCTTTATCATGGGGTTTCTTTTGTTACACTTTTGGAGAATTGGGAGCTCGTTTGTTTTTAAAAAGATACTACTAAGATAAATGATTTTTTTCCTTTTACTATTATTCTTTTTTAAGTGCCCAAGTAATTAGCAATGAATAGCTAAAGGCTGCAAGGCTCTCATCTTTTGCATAATCTTTCAATGCTCTAGAAATACTGTATGTATCCTATCTGTAATAAATCAAATTGAACAATTATTTCGGAACAGAAAAAAGTAAGTCCATTCATGTATTGGGAAAGTTATCAGCTTAATTCTATTGAAAGAGTAACCTTGCCCCTACAGTAAACACTTAACACGCACAAGAAGGTAACTTTGAGGTTGGAGAGGTCTCATCAAGGACATGAAAAGATGGATTTTACATTTTAGGAGATTTTAAGGGATAGATCAAACACCTTGGCTCTTTGGCAAATCCTTTGTTGAATATGGTAAAAACATTCTTTCAGTAACAATGATAAACTTAATTGATTTATTCGTCACCTTTTTTCTTTTTTCTTTTTTTTTTGAGTATGGTAAAAATCATTTTCAAAAAAAAAAAAAAAAGATTTATTCGTCACCTAATAAAAGTGCTACATACAATAACAGGGAAGCGCATCATAAAAAGCTACTGACAATATTACTCAGCTTTTACTCTATTGAATTGATTTACACATAATCAGCCATCCTTCCTATCCAACTATCTGTATACACAACTGAATGCTGATATAGAAGAAAACAGAACAACAAAACCATTTGAGGCTAAAAGTTCTACTACTTTAAACAGCAGAGAGAGAGACCTAGACATAATTAGCCGGTTTATTAGCTATCTGATTCTCCATCACAAGCATCCCAAACATGGGGGGTGGAGTCAATTAGTAAGTCCACATACATATGGGGGAGCCAGCATCTCTCAAGATTTCTTTGGCAAAGATACTCTTCCAAGGATGGAATTTGCAAGATCTTCATTCAGTTTCACTGGAAGAGGCGGCATCTGTTTCATTATCTCTGGCATGTCATTCATGCTGCAATACAAATCATGTCAGTAACAAAATGGCGATAAAGGCTCCCATCCGTGATCATTAAAGTACTGTATTGGTTATATGCAATGCTACAAAAGTCAGTTGAGGACAAGTGTGACATACTCATTCATGATGCTGAGGATATTGTTTCGGGCTTGGCAGAAGAGATTTATGTTCTCGTGAATCTGCACAAAATGAAACGGAAATCTCATATTATCAGTTCAAGTCCAGGGACAATGTTTGGCAACAATAAGTCATAAAAAAGGTAAACTGTTGGACAATATAGTGGTTATGAAAGTGAAACATAGCAATGCTGAAAAGAGCAGGTACGACTTACGAGCATCATATCTTGATAATTTGAAACAGGACAAATCAAACTGCTGGTTAACAGATGATACATGGAACTACAGTCGGAGAGAAAATCATGTACACCAAAAGAGCAAAAGGTATTAGAATTACCTTGAAAGCATTAAAATTTGCTGAAATTTGATCCAAGGCCTGAGCATTTTGTTCAAGAAGTTGTCCAGTTGCACCACCAATGGCTGCAAAGCACAAGTATTGTGCATCCCCACAAGAAAATCAATGACTAAAGCTAGCAAAATTCGATATAAGACATGTATAATCCCAGAATACAGAAGTCCCTTATTGTAAAAGAAAATTTTTAAAAATTTTCCCCTCTTTTAGAATGGAAAAAAGAGATTTAATTCCTGCTACTTGATCATAATTAAAAGTTTGTTTCCATACCCAGTAGCAAACCCCTCAGATTGGACTAAAGTTGTAAACTAAAGCAGGACTACTAGGTAAAACATCCAGAGCCCACATGCCTATTCACTGTAGTTCAAATAAATAGGCGAATACTCCTCCCTTTTGAACATGGTACCGAGACATGCAAAATATCAACAAAATATTGACAGAGACATTATAACGAGCGAAAAGAGATGGATCCAACACACCATTTGCTTGATTGAAGCAGTAAGTGAATAAAAGGCAAGACCAGTAAAAAATTTTCGTATCTCCCCGCGAATTTAAGGAATTAACCACAGAAATAAGTTTAGTCTAACAAGACCTTGTTTAAACCAGAAAACAAATGCTAATAGAGGAGCAGACCATAAACATCACAGGTAAGGCAGATGAGATCAAACACTCAAAAAGACAATTCACTGCTGGTGATTAACTTCCAAAAATGAAGTTTAATTGATTGAACTCTCCACCGACCTTTATACGAGATGCCATCGTCACTGTCCATTGACATTACTGATTGGGCATAAGGGGGACCATTGGTACGATTTGCAACATGAGACTTCGGCGCAGAATCTGTAACTTTTTCCTGAAAAACAAAAAAGCAGCATGAAATGCATACCTTAGATTGATTTAGTCACCAGTAAAAAAGGGCAAATGCAAAGGTTTAGCAATCAATTATATATACAATAATGAGAGAATGCACAACTCCAGCATCTCATTATTTTAATGTACCGGAAAATTTCTTTATTATTATTATTATAATTTAGTGACAACAAAATCACCAAAGAAGGCCATATTTGTTGAAAGGATTTATAGATTCCAACATACTCAAAAGCCCAAGGTAAAAAATTCTCAGTTTCAGGACAAAAGCCATCTCAGAAAGACAAAAATCCAAAAAGGTAAATAGAGGCCGAGATAAGGCCTAAAACAAGTTAGATATGCTCAAGATGGCTAGTGAAATTATTTCTAAATGTAAGATTCTACAATCAAAAGGTACCTACTGAAGAGAGAAGACTAGAGTTACCAGAGAGGGGAACGTGGTTGAATCATACTAAAAATGAGGCCTGTACATAGTGTTCTAAAACAGATATTATGAACTCAAACACAACATCAAATATCTCCAAAAATGCGAGCAATCTCCACATAACCATTACTGAAGACCTTTGTACAGTAAACATCACTTTACATGGACTGTTGGATAAAAAGTAGGAGATTTTGAGGATACCTTTTTATCCTTACTTTTCCGGGACGAGTGATCATCTTTCCTTCGCTTGCCGTTTTCCTTTTTCTGCAATAGAGAAAAGCATATTACAAATGCTATGCCTACCAAATGACCACCTTTGTGAGTTAAAGGGCGAGGCGCATGGAGAAACGAGATGAGAAAATGTTAAACAAACTACAGAAATCATTAGCTGAACATCTTAAGTCACTAATCAGAAGTGTCAGCAAATTGAAACTCCTAGAACAAAACTAACAACTAAAGAAATTTAGAAGCATCCAATGCTCATCAGATATACTAGTCGTCCACCAATTGTTTGGAAATCTTCACAATGATAAACCAATTCAAACGCCGATAATATATTTTTAAAATGACAACCTGCAACAACAAATTAGACCTCTAATGCTGCTGAAGATAGGATCAAAACACTGGGACTGAGGATCCAAAACATTCTAGTAATGTAGGCTAATCAACCCTACATAAGCCGAAGCATTCCTGTCTACTAAACATTAAATTGCTATTTGGGACCCTGGCAATCTCTTTGTAGCACCAACCACCCTTCTTTCTAAATTTTCAGGGGCAGGTTCGGATATTGAAAACCAAAAATAAGAACAGAAGTCAATTATCCAAGAAAGAGAATAAACTGGACTTAGAGAGCTTACATTCATCCATCTACACCGTAAAGCCACGTCTCGAACAGTTTTATCTTTCAATTCCATGGCAATTTTTGCATACCGGACAATATTTGTATCTGATGCATATCTGCGAGATACAATTCTCTGGTCAACTTAGTGACTATACTTCAAGGAACATAACCATATTGTAGAATACTCAGTGAATGGACATTAAAAAAATAATAATAATAAATAAAAAAACAAGGAAGAAAAAGAAAAAGCAGGCAATTTTGCAGATGACATATCCGGAGTCCGGACACCTTGGAAAAAAACGACAATAAGACTGTACTAATTAAGCTAAGAAAATCAACAGCCAACTTCATTCGCTCCAAGAAGTAGTTACATTTAATTAGAAATGCAAGACATCAAGACTGAAGGAATTACATAAGAACAATAATCTTAAAGCTTCTAAAAGCTTCTACACAAGATGTCATGTCACCCCAATGGCCCTCAAAGATGTCACAATTCACCTCACCATGAGTTTTTTTTATCTTCTGGTGGCGCCAATCCTACCAATCTAGGGATGTAGAGAAAAACCAAATAAAAAATAAATATAACTATAAAAGCAAGGAAAGGACCATGTAACATTGAATCATCCAGTTATTAGGATGAGTCAGGATATTTTGTCTCAAAAATCCAAATCCTATCCTCTTTAAACTTTTTCTATGACTTCTACCTACTATTCAAATTTCCATAGATAATGATATGCACCCCAAAGGAACTGGATTTCCACACTGATCTAGTGTGTAGTTTATGTTCACAGTTTAGCACCTCGTATAATACAATCAGGCAAAGCACTATGCACCAGAAGAAAATACAGTATGTCTCATCACGGATTAGTATCAGGAAATTTTGCCATCTTCAAAACGTACACATCTATGGGCTCCTAGCTCAACTTTTCACTATACAGAGCCTATACTTAACCTCCCATATCCAACTTGGAATGCTCTTGAGGCAAAAAAGTTAAGAATGCAAGGCATGCAGAATGCTAGACAATGACTCGAAGAGATTCACCACCACCTCCAATAATTTTTCTCCGGTATGCACACAGATCCAAAACAGACCAAGAAATGACCTGAATTTTGCAAAAGAATGGTGTTTCCATGAAAAAAATTAGCACCCAACACACAATAATCGACTTACTTGTTGAGTAAATCTTCCAAAAGGGACTGTTCTTCGGATGTCCACTGGGCAGAAATACCGGGGTCGTGTCGGAGGGCCGCCTTGGTAGGTCCCAATACGGAATTATCCGGGACGGAAACGCCGTTAGTGGTGACACCATTACCATTACCGGCGCCTTCTTGGCCATTATTTCCGGTATTGTGGTTGGTCCCATTAGGATGGCCTCCGCCAGATGGGTTCGCACTCGCAGCCATCAATCAGACCCCCCAAAATTGTCCAAACCCTCCTCACAAATCCTTCAAACGGAAAGTTTCAAATCAATTGAACAGCTCAATTTCCTAATTTCTAAGTTCTATTCTGGTGGGCACAATTGAAAACCCAAAACAAAACAAAACCAAAAAAAAAAAAAAAAACCCCAAATAATAAAATGAAGAGCAGCGGGTATGTAGGAATTTTAGTTGTCAGTGGATAGAGCTGAAAATTGGCTGCTGACGAGATGGGGGAAAAGATTGCGAGTGAGATAAGGATAGTTTATTATAACTAATTTAGTAGTACTATAATTAACCTTTAATAAAGGGAAGAAATACAGTAGAAAACAGCTACAAAGCGGTGGGAGGGAAGGATGGTTGGAGGAAGAAGCGAAAATCTGTACGGTACTCGAGATGACGATGATGATGTGAGATTCCTTTTTCAGTTCTGCTAAATTTTAAGCAAAAAGCTTTGACATTCCTTTACAATGCTTTTCTCCTTCTTCTTTTTTTAATTTATTGTATTACATTTACACAATTATTATCCCTTTTATTATTATTACCCTATTAAAGCAGAAAACATGAAGCTTTTGTGGCAACTAAGTATGCATCTGTTTTGGCTCCAATGCACCATATTTCAGATTTCATGAGTCTTTTTGCCACGTGTAAGTCTCTTTTAATTAGAAGTTATATAATTTTTTTTAAAATAAAAAACACATGTTTTACTACAAATAAGGATCAGTTACATTTCAAACGAATGGATATATTAATTCAAATTCAAATGTCCAATCGTATAGTTCTGCAGGCGTAATAAAAACAAAAAATAAAAATACCTAAATCCAGCAATTAAGAATAATGCCTTATAAACTAATTATTTATTATTCCCTTATAACCTCAGATTTAAAGGTATATTTTTTTAAGCCCCAAATCATAGCATAAATGATATATACGCCAAATTAATTCCTCAAAAAATAGTAATTCAATTAGATTTTAATAAAATAGTAATTTAGAAGGGGCGCCCGGGCATCTGCCTGGGCCAAACATCTAGTTGAGTGTATTATTTTACTGTATATATTTTGGGATCATGGTTTTTTTTTTTAAAAAAAAAGATACTTGTATTATATTAGGATAATGTCCCTAAATTATTACTCCCTCCATTTCTTTTCAATAGGCTCATTTAGACATACACAGAGATTAAAAAAAAGTGAGTAATGTAGTTTATGTAGTTAATTTTAAATAAAATTTCTACTACATCCTTATTAATGACTAGTGAATTATTACTTGATATGAGAGAGTAATAGTTGAAATTAAATAAATGTTCTTGATTTCAGTGAAAGTGGGAAGGGTATATTAGAGAGTTTATAGAAAAAGTGCTTGTTTGGACGTCATCTTACATTTCATTTTGTCACTTAAAAGTGGAAAGTGTTTCAAGTTGAAAACTAAATGGGAAATGAAAATGTTGTTTGGATGGTATTTTGAACAAAAAGTTGTTTAGATGTTGGTTTTGAAAAAAATATTTTGAACTACATTTTGAAAATATCAAATATGAGTCATCACTAACCAATTAAATATTGTCAATTATAGTCACCGCAAAAAATAATTTTCCAAAAACAATCACCCAACAATGGAATCCTGCCAAATTTGCCACTGAACTATTTGTTTTTAAATGGTCATTACACTAACAAAAAGTGTTTTAAGTTGTAATTTAAAATGTAAATCAGAAAATTGTTTGGATAATGTTTTCTTTTCTATTGGGTTTTGTGTTTAAAAGGTAAAATGAATTAAAATGTAAAATGAGTGGACGTCCAAACAAGTTAATTGTAAAAAATGGGACTAAAGTTTTGAAATATCCCAAAAAGGGAAGTGAGTCTATTGAAAAGAAATGGAGGGACTACATTGCATCCTGTAATAAGCCATATTATGAACTTCTGTTACATCCGACCTATTGACTTTAATCAATTCACCATAGTCAAATGTATTTATAAGATAGATGAATAGAGGTGTATTTGTAAATTTCTAAGATGATTTGTTAAAAATTCACAATCAGTGTGAACTTTAACATTTGTAATTTTATAATTAGAAGCTCGTTGAAGTGCTGATTTCATAATTGGAAACTTTAACACGGTGAATTACCAATAAGTAATTATGTATTTTTAAAATTCACTCTTCAAATTTATGTTTTTCTTTAGCTGAAACCAGTAACTTCCTGCTCAGAGAGCCAAAAGAAAACACATTCAACAAAAATCAACAGATCAAGTAGAAAATCATATATAAATTTTCATTTTTTCATCATGACCGTATCTATATGTTTAATTTTTGAAGAGATTTTGATAAAATTATATTTCCTATGTTTCATAAAAATAATAGTTATATTGTAAATTGAATATTTTTTAAAGCATAACTCTGAGATATAATTTGAAAAAATTTTATATGAGACAAAATATTATCCAGACGGACTATTTTTTTTTAGTACAAGTTGAAATATTTTAAATTGTCAAGAGTATTTCTATTCAATTGAATCTGCTGCCAAATTAAGTAAATGTTCACCACCCTCAAGGATTTGAGTCAACCCACTCCGTCTACAGATTCTTCGATTTTTTTGCGCTCTTATTTGGTTTTTTTTTTTTTTGAAATTGATACATGATATTAATTAAGAGTACCTATACTATTCGATCGACATGCATTATAATCCATACTATGTAGATGACTAACATTAGATCTGTTAATTTTGATAAGTTGGCAGGACTCAAAAGATGAAATTAAAATTAATAATAAAACAATAACTTCTAGTGTTTCTGTCGGCATAAATATAGTGCTTAGATCAATAGATAATAACTCATAATCAATGTAAACTTTCAAATATTTGTGCTGTTATTTGTTACATTTATTTCTTCTCTCTGAAATATATTTTTTTCATTTTTTGAATCAAAACTAAAGGCATGTTGTAGATTCCCACTGAATTTTTTTTTTGATCGCTATATTTTTTTAATGTAGTATAGTCGCATTTTATTTTTTAAAAAATACTTTTGCCTTTTACATTTTTAACACATCATTTACTCTTGGAAAACAAAAGCGCTCCACAGTCCGTTCCTCCCCTTTCTATCTGGACCGAGCGGGAGAGTCAGTTCAACTTGTCTTCAAGAACAACAAGAATTAGGGTTTTAATTTCCAGCGATTCCATAGCAGCTTTAAAACGACGACCCCAGCTTCCAATTCGTTGTGACGCTCTGAGCCATCATAATCTCGCTTCTCTCCACTTGCCTTTGGAGAAAGCTCAGTTTCGCTGCTTCATTCCTTCTCAAAGCAAAGTTCTTCCGTATCTGAGGTGCAATTTTCTTGATCCTATTGTTGATTAGCTGTATTTCTATTACTCAATCGGTTTATGCTTTTAATCCCTCTTCCCCCTGTATATACTGACTTCGTTTAAGGGCCGGATGAATATTTGTTGTAAACTTTACTGGCGTAATAAACAATTCCTTTCTGTTTTTTCCTTAATCCTATTGTTGATTAGCTGTATTTCGATTATTCAATAGGTTTATGCTTGTGATTCCTCTTTTTTTTTTTCCTTGTATATACTGACTACGTTTAAGGGCTGGATGGAGATTTGTTGTAAACTTTACCGGCGTAATAAAACAACTCATTTCTGGTTTTTTGGGTGGCTATTAGTGCTCAAATGCACAATTGGATCTTTATCAACTGATGATTGAACTCCGATTACCTGTTCATCTTATTTACCTGCTGTTTTCTTATTTATTTATTTTTTTTTTTGTGGGTTACTATGTATTTTTAGTTGTGAGGTTGTTTTAGGACTCAGGTGTGATTTGACGCAATCATAGACAATGTATAGAAAGAATTTGGAACTCTTTTGTAGTGTTACACTGGAGCAAGTGGTTGTAAAACTATCTAATTATGTGCATACGTAAATATTGTTTTTGTGTGTTAGGTTTTGGCTTTGGTTTTAAGACATGGCAAAGCATCATCCTGATTTGATTATGTGCCGGAAGCAGCCAGGGATAGCAATTGGGCGGCTCTGTGAAAAATGTGATGGGAAATGTGTGATATGTGATTCCTATGTGCGCCCCTGTACCCTGGTAAGGGTCTGTGATGAATGCAACTATGGCTCGTTTCAGGGTCGCTGTGTCATCTGTGGAGGAGTGGGTATTTCTGATGCCTACTATTGTAAGGAGTGTACACAGCAAGAGAAAGATCGAGATGGATGTCCGAAAATCGTAAATCTTGGAAGTGCTAAAACAGATCTCTTCTACGAGCGTAAGAAGTACGGTTTTAAGAAAAGATGATTAGAATGCGAGGAACTCTGGAAATATGTTAATGTGGCTTGTTAGTAGTCCGCCTTGATTGTAGAACTTACAAAAGCAGATGTATTGAATTTCAGTGGTGATTCATTAAGGCTGTTCTGGCATCTTTGATTGCTACCATAAAATATGAATGCTGAGTGTAAGATTTCCCATTATTTGTGTTTTGACCAGCATAATTTACTGTGCTGCAACTTTCATATTTACTAGCCATGCTCTTCGAGGACCTCCCTACTACCTGAAAGCTTTTGCATTCCGTAGACAGCATTGTAATTTGTTTTATTCTCTTCTAGTTGGATATCTGTATTGCAATTGATTTTCATTGAACCTCTTGTTTTGGGGTTCATGTTGACATTTTAGTCTTTGATTTCTTGTGGTCTAGGCAGAAATTTTCAAGTAAATCTCCCAATCTTCAGCAGATCTTCTATATTTTGAATCAATTGCTGGTTGCTACTGGGGGGTCAAACTCGTTTCTCTGTCTTAGCAAGTTAGCATAGATTGCTCGTTGCTACCAGGGAATCCCCTAGCAGTTCCTTTGTTGATCTTGCTTGTTTTCCTGTGAATTGGTCTAGTGTTCTCGTTATTGCTCTACTCATGAACATAAGTCGTGGGAGAAAATAAATACTTGCAAGACCGCAGACTGATTGTTCTCTGTAGTAATCTAATTATCAGGTCTCGATTTAGAAATCCATGCAAAATTTTGCCTTGCATTTTGCTTTGTGGTGGTGGTAGTAGTAGTAGTAGTAGTAGCAGTAGTAGTACTTACTTGTTGAACTTGCTGGTTTTGTAGATTGAAGGATAAGATTTTGCAGTTAGTTGCTTGTGTATTCTTCATTCATTTTGTATGAAAATGGTTGACCTACCAATGGCTGCTTGTTTTGGGTTGTTTCACACTTTAATTGCCTTTATCTTTACCTTTACCTTAATTCTGGCTGGTTGTGATTCTGTGATTTGATTTTGAATTGATGGCTGTTGGATCTCCATGTTGATCAAAATGTAGCAACTTTTCCTTGCCTTCCTTTTTACAGGTATGTTTTCGGTCCCTTTTTTTTTTTAATAAATAAAAAAAAGGGGTATGTTTTCGGTTAAGAATTCACTTACATTTGCCATTGATAGAAAGAAAAGTTTGACACTAGAGTCTAATCGGGATATATTCACGGGA